CAAACTACGATGGAGATGTTCTATTCTTTTTCCAATAACTTATTTTTGAGACGCTTGCTATTAAACGTTACAAGAGGCGTGGATGTACGCGGTACACTATTGTATGACAAATGTTGAACTTTGTAATGAGAATAATTAGATTTAATCATCGTCTGTAGACATTCGTTTTTAGTTGACAAACAAGTTTTTCTTCATATTTTGACTAACAAAGAATTCAAGGAAAATTGAATTACTATTATATTGTTTTTATTGACCATACGCTTGTTAACATCAAATCAAATGAATTTTTCTATTTTTCTTCATATGAATTTCATAAGAGTATCATTCATTTCTTACAAAAAAAAATAATCAGTTAATGAATTAATATTTCTCATAGAACTAACTCATCTTTCATATCCTTAGTTTCAGTTCAGATTTAATATGATTATAAATCATTATTGAAATGTATATAAAGATAAGACCAAATCTCAAGGACCAAATAATAGACTCCTGGAATCTTATGGTTTGGTGTTTCCTTTCCAAGGGATTTCTTCATTGTATACCAGACCTGTGAGCCTGGCCTATATGGGACATAATATTATTTTCCCTAGTATAACTCGAAACATAAGATATAGCCAAAAGTTCATAATGTTGTGATGGTATGGACGTAAATCATCTCTTCATATACAGTAACCCACACCCTTTTACTTTTTTGTTATATGGCCCGATCATATGTTGTTTTTCTATCATAATTTACATTTTCTTTTCCAATTATGTGAAATATAGAACTTAGTGGATTTTAAAAAAACAAACATCAATTGACCTGGTTTGCCCTCCAGATCACTCCTTTACATTTAGCCCAGCCTGCAGGCTATTGAGCCAGCACTAGATTAAAAAAAAAATAGCTTGCTAACAGCTCTGTCCTATAGCACGTCTTTAATCATATCAATAAAATGAAAGCTTTTAATATTCTTTCAGAATAATTCATTGACAATATAGAATGTCTATGTCAAATGAAGCTTAATGAGGGGACGTTGTGGGTGTGATTCTTCTCTTCGTTCACACTAACATCCTCCTAATAATATTGTATATATCTGTGCATTAATCAAAATGAATTGTTCTTATTATGCTTTCTTTACAAATCTGCATAATTTAGTTTATGATTTTTGAGAATAAAAGAAAACTATTATTTCTTCTGTCGTTTGTTGTTGTTTTTTAAATTGTTTATCGAAGTGAATATTAGAATATCGTTATTTCTTGTATAATTTTCTTATATTCCACTTTAACAATAATAAAAATTCTAAAATAATTCGTCTATATTGTCTTCGATTAAAATTCATATTATCGTTTAAATCAAATTTTAATTTAATTTAATTTAATTTTACCAAAAAAAATTTTCATTTATTTCCTATAGGTTCTACTCATTATGTTTATCGTATTTGCATTAATTGATGGTCATTTTTTATTAACATTAGAATTAGAAATAATCGATGGTCATTATCGTGTATGTCATCCAAAAATGTGGGCAAGACATTTTGTTGGAAAAATATTTGTTTTCATTGATGCATTAAAATATTCAGCAATACCGTTTTGTATTTTACTTATATTAAGTATACTTATAATTCAACGAGTTTTTCATGCTGAAGATATAAGTGCTCAATTACAAAATCTTCGTCCATTAAATAATTATCGACAATATTCAACAACATCAAATCAAAGTTCTACAACACATTCATCATCATTAGTTGCTCATACAACACCAACAAATTTATTACCAAGTAATACACGTGTTGGTCGTCGTGTTACATTTATGCTTTTATCTGTTAGTATTGCATTTTGTATTTTTTCTGCACCAATGTCCCTTATGCAAATAGTACAAAGTATATCAAAACCTGGTTATCATGAAACACCATTAGCTATTGGTAAAGCTATTGCTGAATTATGTCAATATGTTAATCATTCATGTAATTTTTTTTTATATGCATTAACGGGACGAATATTCCGTCGTGAATTTGTTCGATTATTTTTTCCAACACGTTTTGGTACTCAACGAGGTTTTGTTGGTGGTGCTGGTATAAATGGTATTGGCCTTAGTGCACGTGCTGGTATTATTCCACATGCTGCAAATTCATCAAGTCGTCATGGTTCACTTTATTCAATTGAAAATAATCGTTATAATAGATGTTCACCAAGATCATCTCGACGTTTAACAACATTATATCCAGTAAGATATAAAAATGAAAGAAATCAACAAACTAATTCATCAACTCCAAGACAATTACCATTTATATCATTTAATAATAGTCCTATATTAAAAAATAGATTTCATTATTTAAATCGTGATAAATCTTCGTTACATACAATAAGAAATAATGATCATAATAATAATAATCGTTCATTAGTTAATTTTTGGCATATATGTAGTAGAAAAAACGAACTAAAAGCGACTAGAGACGGTTCAATATTATTTCTTAATGAATTAAATACAAGAAAACGTATACCATCTACAGTGTGATATATTAAATGAAAAAAAAATCAACCGGTTGTTTTGTTTTTTACTATGACAAAACTTAGTTGTTTTATATTGTTTTGTTTTTCTTGAATTTATTATAGAAAAATATTCGTTATGACACATACTTATGACAATTTATGAGACAAAAGTTATGTTGAAGATATTCTTCATATGTTTTCGTCCTCTTTCTGTTTTCTTTAAATATACATGTTGTTTAACTATAATTATCGTTTTATTACTTTCTGTCAGGTATTTCTTCCCACAGATTGTTTTCTTTCTATACGAATTTTCTTGCTTTTATGTAATAACTTAACTATGTTTCAATTGTTGTACGTTATTTCTTGGTAAATTCCAGTACATATTTGATATAAATACCTGCTGTTTTGATGTGAAGGACGTCGATTTGAATTCCGTCAATAAACTTCTTTTACACAACAACATATGATGGATCTATTAAAATTTGACAAGAATTGTTTTTCCTCATAAAATAAAAATTCATACAGTATTAATTTCATACAACGAATCATTTGAGAATATAAAAGAAATTTTTCAGGATTGAATTTTATAATATAAGAAATTCTAATCGATTCTCACTTATGGAATTACTGGTGAACTTCGTCGTAGAAAATTTCTTAGAATTTTGCAATTGCCAAAAACTCCCGAATGACTTTTTGAGATATTCCTTGGGAAACAGAAATTTCTCTATACATATTCTCAAAAAGACTTTCAACAGAATTTGTTTACTTTAAACATAGTCTAATATCCATGTCAAAAAAGAACAAGGGTGACTATTTTTTGAATAACTTTTGATAGAAAGTAGATAGAGAGATTCGATTTTCACTGTTTGAAAGAGGAGATGAAACTGCATCGAACAGTCTATATCAGATTTTTCTGAGAAGTTTTCTCAGAGTCTCTGGTCAATTTTTTCGAAAAATTCAGGTTTTTAAATAAGTTTATAAGGTGGATTCTTCGTTAAAAAACGAGAAAAAAAGTCAATTTTTTATGGAAAATCTGCCGATAATATGAAGTAAAATATGTATGACTCTGAGAAAACTTGTTAAAAAAATCTGATATAGACGACTCGATGCGGTTTCATCTCCTCTTTTAAAAAGTGAAAACCGAACCTTTCTATCTAGTTTCTATCAAAAATTATTCAAAAAAACTACTTACCCTTCTTCTTTTTTGAAATAGGTATTAGTATACACTAATTAACATGATTAATACCCCTACATAGCACTGGATGAGGAAGTGCGTTATATTTAAGAAGAAAAAAGAAACCTCTTTCATTAACAGTTGAAAGTTCACAGCGAAATTCCTGTGAATTTCCGATTTTTGTAGCGAGCAAATGAATAAAACCAACAACTCTCAACTAAGTATCAATTGTAAAAGAAAATTTTATTCTATTTATTTAGATGACTGTTAAGAGCGATTTCAACAGTACGTACTACTTTTAAAATATAAATTACATTTTTCTATTAACAAAAGAATAGGTCATCCTTTACATCATCGATGAGAGGTATATAAGAATAGAATAATAAATAAAATGATATACAATTGTTTATTTACGCTAGTCGTAAAATTCACATCGTGAATTTCTGTGGCACATCCTAGTAGTGAACTCCTAGAAAGTCCTTCTAAAAGCAAGTTTATTCAATGATAATGAAAATCTTTTAAGAATTACTAGACACACTACAAGTTAATTAACTCTTTACAACCGAATGTCCATTGACATGAACATTAGCAGGAAGTTCATTGGAAAAAAAAACGAACCGTATGATAATCTACAGCTAATTCTATGTTAGTTGTGCAAAAATTTACTAAACTATCAGTGTTTTATTGTCTTGTCTTCGAAAAATATGACGTACAAAATTTGAAAATACAAAATTTCCCTTAGAAGTCTTTTCTAGTAACAAGCAAAATATATCTGTGATCTGTGTCGATGACAATGTTTACTAGTGAATCAAATACCTTGCACAAGTTTTTCAATAGCTTGGCAAATAAAAGATGCTAAACTATTGAATAGATCCTGTAGAAACTACCGACAAGTAAAAGAAGGAATGATATATAAATCAAACAAAATATCTATCATCAATAAAATATCTTGATTGATTATATTATTACTTAGTGGCTAAAGATGTATTTAAGAAAAATGGTGTTTGAAGTACATGTACTGTTAAAAATGTGTCTTCATATCTTCTTTTCTTTTCCAAAATTAATCAAATCAAAAAAAAAAAGATACCAATCCTATCTACTCAAAACTATCATTGGGTTATAGAGTTTAACAAATAATTATTTACTAAATTGTTTTGTTTTTCAGATTTTTATTTCTATCGATCTATCATAATGATTTCAAATGTTTATATAAAAAATGACGTTATTTTGAAAAAATGGAGAACGTTTTTATCTTATGTCGATACTAAATGAGACATTTAACAATTAAAAAAATGTCATGAATAAGAAAACAAAAAAAACACAGCGTCTTTCAATCGTCTGAATACAATGAAGATCTCTAGACAAGTGTCTGAAATGCTGTATACTCATTTTGAGGTATATTTATTGCTGATGATTCCATGTTATAATATGAACTTCCTGAAATTAAAAAAAAAACAATCTTTTTAATTTTACAACCGAAAAAAAAATATCAAATACTTGTTAATAAATTTCTTGGTGCGCGAAATGATTGATGGCTATATTCTTGTTGTAACGGAATATGTGGTGGAGGTACTGAACCTATGAATATATATATATAAAATAGATTCGAATTTTAATTTCTTTGTATCAAATATTTTACATCCTGTTTTTTGTGACTTATGTCTTGTTAATAAATGTTCTCGTGATTCTCGATAGCTTGTTTCTGCTGTTGTAATACCTTCGTTCCATTGTAAATAACATGAACGTGCATCAATAGATGATTCAAAACGAAAACGTATAAAACCTTGTACAGGTGCACGTGTACCTAATTCAAATTCAATATCACGATCATTTATTAAACGTATTGTACGAATTGTTGAACGTGGAAATGTATATTGTTTATCATGATGTTGTTCAAGAACTATTTTATCTGTATCAACTATTAATTCACATACACCACTTGGTAAAGATAAAATTTCTTGAGTTGCTAAATCAGTAAAATGAACACGATATCGCATTGCTAAAAAGAAAGACAATTATCAACATTTATGTATTAATTTTATAATACATTAAAATACGATAAGAAAAGAAAAAGATTTAATAAAATTATAAGCTTCTTATAAACTAGAAATGAAGATTATAAGAAGCATCGTTTGTGATTAGAGTCCTGCGAGACATTCGAAATTGTTTTGAAATTTTTTGGAATGGAATCAGCGAAATTCAGGACTCGAAAAACTATACTCTACACGAGTCTATTCATAACTAACCGTGTTTTCTGACATTTGTTTAAAAAAAATTAGGGAAATTAGCTGTTGAAATTTTTTCTTTCGAAAACTAAAAATTATGTATTTTAACTATATGACTAACTACTTTTCAAACTAAATTTTCCAATGTCATTACTAATATAAAAATGATTGTCTTTATTCTTTAATAAACATTTTTGTTCTTAGTAATAAAATCAAGGTTTTTGATATTCGTCTTTATATCAATATGTAAAATGAAATCCAAAACTATTTTGTAGAAAAAAAATAGTTGATCACGTTGGCAAATATTCTTTCCTATTTCTGTTTTTACATACCTGTAGCAGATTCATATAGCATATTTACAGTTGTATTTTCATCAGGACGATCTTTATTGATTAAATCCCATGAAGAATTATATACTCCATCAAGAAGAGTTTTCCATTGATTATATTCATATATATTATCAAAACCAAATCGATGTCTTTTTCCATTAATTTTAAGTATAATGATATTTTTTGGTTCATTTTTATTTATATCTCCATGTATAGAAGTTACTGAACGAAGTTTTCTAAGGTCAATAATTTTACCATTCGGTTCATGAATATTATATTTTGAATGTAATTCGAGTTGATTTTGTTGAATACCATTAACATCAATAAACGAACAGAATATACAATCATACTCAGTCCATTTATCCTTGAATTTTTATGATCAAAAGTAAAAAGAGCAACAAAAAAGAAAGGTTAAGAAAAATCAAAATTTGTCTTATCTACCCAATTAAATATACCGTATTTGGAATATTTTAATTGACAACGTTGTCGTATATTACGATTAGTAGATATCATACGAGTTGCAGAAGTAACGTTACTCATATTAGATGATATAAAGTATAAAGAATAAAGAATAAAAAACAAACTCACAAGGTATACTATAAAAGAAAGAGAAAAAAGTCTGTATAAAAGCAAACGAAAGATAAATATTATGACGTATTATGCCTTATATTCAGACAATTTTCTCCTTCTTTTATTCTTCCGCATACAAGCAAAAGTAAATTGTTAGAATAAATATTAAAAAAATAAATAAGATTAATTTCATTTTAAAATAAAAAATTTTAAATTTATATATTTTATTGATATAAATTTGATTATTATATATGCATTATCGAATTCTTTCAATTTTATATATTACATATTCTCATTTTCTTTGATCTCAAAATAATACGCACACCTACTTGAAATAGCTGATATAACCTCTTTTCATTCTATTTTAATTCAAGCAAATAAATGTGTTCAATATTATATACAGATGAATAAATCGATAAGTGAGTGTTGACACACACACACTATCGTTAGGAATCGAAGAAAAGAACCTTGAAAAAACAAAGAAAAAAAGAATAATAATATAATTATAATTATATACACAAGAACTTTTCATAAAAGAATACAAAAATAGTTAATTATTCGAATTCTAATTATTAATCTTGCGCGTTTTTTTTTCTTGTATATCTATATTCATTAAAATATATCTGTATATATATATATCTACAAGAAATATTTGTATTACTTTTTTCATTCATCTTCTCATCATTTTCATATATAATCTCATTGTATTTATGTATCGTTTTAAAATAAATCTCAATTCGATATATACTGTCTGAAACAAAAAAAAACACAAATCATTTAATTGAATATGATTTTATTTCAATTATTAATGAATAAAGATTATTTAATAAATAAAAATAAACTTCGAATAAAATTTTCATTATTCAATGAAATATTAAAATTAAAATTTTAATGTCAATCGAATCGACTTTATTAACAAAGAAGAGTTTTAAAAATATTCAAAATCAACATAAATTTGTAAGATAATTCTTAAGAATTATTAACATGTAACTATACTTATTAAAAATCATAGGAAAATATAATAGAATCTTCAAATGATGATGAAAAATTATTATCAAAAAAAGAAATTGAATTTCTTTCAGTAAACTATTTAAAAACAGAAAAAACTTTTTTTTTATTTTTATTAAATGATTAAAATTTTAGTTCAATCCTCCAAATGTTAATATTCCATTAACATCACAAAAATCTAGATTTAATAAAGAAATACAATCACAAGTAAATATTATATCTTCATCCAAAAAAATACAATCAATAATGAATACTATCGATCATCAAGAAATGACGATACTAGTGAGAAGAATTTTGATTATTTAACATGGAGATGTGATTAACTTTTTATGGGCATGTCATTAATCAACCGTATTTTTACATTGTTTTCTATAATTTACTTTCTTTTGCTTCTCTATGAGAAGATTACATCATTTTACTTCTTATCTGATAACAACTAAACAGAAATATTCTAATCTGATATCATCGAACGGTTTTATAACATCGAAATTACATGAGTAATAAATCAAAAAGATAAAATAAAATTTGACAGAAAATCTTTACATAAAAACAAATATATAATTAAAAATTAATAAAAATTTTTCTTTCTATCCGATATTGTGTTCATCAGTGATTGTATTTTTTTTTCCTGACTGATCACATCTGTAAAAACATTAGCTTATTTGTCATTGACAAACTCGATTAATGGTCATAAGTGAATAATCAATACTATTGATTAGGCATCTAACCGTGAACAACATCTTTCACCATTATCACCAGTTATCGTTCAAGAACAACAACTATCAGTGGTACCAAGATATGTTCGTGATGAACAACAATCATTGTCATCAAAAGTTCCAATCGAACATTTAATTATTAACACAAATAAAATAGACACTCTATCTTCCGTAATCCGTTTTGAACAGCCATTATCTCCATCTTTTTCACAACTAATTCCAGATCCTATTATTAATGATAAACAGACACCAAACAGAATTTTTAATGAAAAAAATTCTATACATTTTACATATCCGTCTCAACTTAATACAATAACACCTGTATGAATTCAATTAAAAATTCTCTTATGAAAACATTAATCTAGCTTTTTTTTCTTTTTCTAAGATTGATTCTTCATTAAAAACAAATTCCGATTCTATCCATGATGATTTATCATCATCAAATAATATACATTACTATCAAATCAGTACTATATTCACTTCAATAAGCACATTTATTATGCATCAAAATGAAGTTATTGGTCAGACACCTATTTCTGATCGTTTTCTTTCAGACACGATTTTCATTATTTTAATTACAACTCTTACAATTATTATTTTATTCTTTTGTTTGGGTCTCTTTTGTTTATGTCGTCGTACAAATAAACGTAATATATCACCATCATTTGATGGTGCTAGTTATATAGGATTAAATGAACATTCATTAGATATACCAATGGATAATTATCAACAACAAATATCTAAATATGAAAATGATATTTCTTATATAAATGATATTCCATCATCATTGATGCAAACAAAATCATCAATCAATCATCCATCATTGATAAATAATGATAGAATTTCTTTACATAATACAATAAAACATAAATCTAAAATAAACGAAAAAAAATTAAAAAAAAAACGACTTGGTAATTGTTGTTGTTGTTATAATTCAAAAAAACAATCTTTATCAACAAAAATTAATGAACGAAATCGAATGAGAAGAAACGAAATATAATTTACATGTTACGATTATTTATTTTTGTATCAAAGAACAAAAGAAAAATAACATAAAATAGATGCTAAAAGGTTTCAACTCTTTTTTTCTTTCTTTTAATTCATTAATTACTTTTATTTTAACTTTCAAGTTTTTGTTTTGTCACATATCAATCCTATTGATTGAACTCTCTAACATGTGTGACCGTTAAACATCCGGTCGACCTCACGTTCATATACAAAGACAAACAAAGAAGCAAAAGAAAAAGTGAAACTAATAATTTACGGCAGACTTCCTTTTTTTCTCCCTCTCTCTTGTCATCAAACAAGATGTTGACCTTCTTAAAAAACTATCAAGTGATGAGTATATATGTGTAACAGTAGTAAGTATCACTTATGATTTGTTTGTATGAAAATTAAAAACCATTTTTCTTCATTTTATTTTAATTTTGAACAAATAAATAATCAACCATGATTTGATTATTGTATGGTACATTTACTTTTTTTTTTCTCACTCTTTCCTTGAATTGATTGACAATATATGGGATAGAGTTGTGGATGGTCGCCATCTGTTTGCTTCTTCCTTACTTAGATATTTGATTCTTTCTCATTTTTCTTTGGTGTGCAAAATGTCAATTGAGCGGTCGTAACTATACAAGCTAATGTTAGTTAGACCCGTTCACAATCGATCATCACTCAGCATGCAACATATACTAAAATTGATAGTCACATACAAGATCAGGTGTCTTTTTCTTATTTCTATATTAGAGAACTCTGTGATTCCCAAGAGAAATGACAAAGATAGAGACATTATCGTTTTTTTTTCTTTCGAACTCTAACACTTCATTTGCTTACAAATACATACATATACACGCACACATATGTTGCTTTAATCATCATCATGCAAGCAATCCAACCTTGACCCTAAACAATCTTCACGGCATGTACAATGATTTATGATGATTGTCCACCGGTCATCACAAGCAATCACTTTATGCTAATTGACTTTTTTTTTTCACACTGTCTATTATCACATCACCTGCCTATCTATGGACATATGTCGGTAAAATTCATGCTGTGACATTGAATTTGATGATCACTACTTTTTGAGAGATTCACTTCATACAAATTCTAGTAATGGTGCCGGTCTACAAATGTATAACAAATGCATAGGTATATACATAATCGGTGAACATCAAAAAAAAAAAAAAAAAAAAAAAGAAAAAAAGAAGAATAGATGCTCATGTTCACTCATTTTTGCGCTTATTCGCTCGTGCGCAAGAGCCTTGCGTAATCTTATCATCATCGAACATAACGTATGTCCTTGATAGTGCAAGCATTCGCATAGGCTTCGTAAAACGAAGTTACAAAGGCAATCGGATATATACGTCGTATAGGATTATAAAGCGATGCTCCTCAACCATCACCATACTAAATTCATTATTATTGCATCATAAACCCGCATATGTTACTTTAACGGTTAACGTACGTATCTCATTCTTATTCTTATTCTTCTTCTTTTTTTTTTTTTCTTCAGATTCTCTCATATTTTACTATCATATCATGAAATTGACCCTCGACCGACTAACTTCTTTTCGTCGATTTTTTTTTCTGTTGATGACGATAGTGAGCGATGAATGAGATGAAAAATAAAAAAAGAAAGAAGTGCTTAGTTAAGTGCTTATTTAGTTGTACAATTGAGAAGCCTGTGTTCATAATGGAATTCGTTAAAAAGTAGACTAGTGAATGAAATTAAAACATGCACAAAAATTTATTTTGTCGTACTAGACTTTTAAATGAACTCGAATGAAACAAAAAGAAAAAAGGTTTCACAAACATGTACATAAAAAAAAAGACGAATGCCATTTTACTGTCAATATTATTATGAATTTCATGACGAGAAATTAAATTATGTGTACAAAGAAATTATATTGAAAACAATAAGTTAAATGACTTTTCTAATTTCATAATAAAGTAATCTGAAGGATTATTAAAAATGATTATTATCGTTAGATATTCAATCTAATAGAAAAAAAAAAAGAAAATTCAACAGTACTCATTAAAAATTTCATGCGTGTTCATAGTTTGAAACAACTAATGTAATCAAGCTTTTCACACTAGTTTAATCACTGAACAGGTGATAAATATGACACATGCAATGTTATATCCCTAAGAGAAATGTGTGACTAACAAGGAAATTATCATCTCACATCATGACGTTCTTGTATTAATAGATAGATATCGATACTAAGATATATTGTTAGTTTTTCGTTATCCATTATTGCTTACACTATAATTCATATATATCATATGTATACTAGTCAATCAGTAAGTGGTTATAATATGAGACTATGTATAATATAAAACATTCGTTGTTCTTGCATGCTTTTGTTTTATAGGTAAACAAAGCAATAGCAGACATAGAATTTCTCATGTTCAATGGATGTCTGAACAATCGATGTATATATATATATAGTACGAGGGAAAGAGAAGAAATATGAAACGATAGTATGTGTGACGCGACTAACATACCGATAAAGATGTCTCGTTCAACCCTATTCAATGGATCAAGGTGACCCATCCGAATAGAATGAAAGTAGTAATTTGCTCGACACGCGTCTTATTAGATAGTGCATATATTTATTGCACATCGACGCACGCAAAAAGACAGTAACAAGATAGGAGAAGATGGTCATGTCGACGTGTTCGTCCATCATCATCGTCATTGGTCTATCGATGTCTGTTCTCAATAATAATTTGACATTGTATATGTCTATTGAAAAAAAATATTCATATAAAACATAAAATAAAGTCTTTTTTGTATGAAAAGAAACCTGTATTGGTACCCGTTTTTATTCTTTCTTCGATTGAACTAGATATTTGCCGAGATATGATTTGTATTCCTAATTAGCTCATTGACACATACCGCCAGCATTTTTCTCTCTTTCGCTTTAGTTGCTTCACATATTCCGTATAGAGAAAGAGAGAGAGAGAGACAGCAGCACGAGAAGAAGAAGAATAAAAATGAGAAAGAATAGAAGTTGAACAAAACGGGCGACGATAGCAAGCCGGTCGTCGATGTATTTTTCTCTTCTCTTCTCCCTCTCTCTCGCGCGCTCTCTTTCTTACAAACGAACAATTGTCCAGTTCATCGCCGGTCTAGTATACACACATCTTTTTTTTTCTTTCTCATTGGAATAGATGAGTGTGTATACATATGTGTCTTGAGATTTTGATAATGGCACTGCATTTTCTCTCTTTTTTTTTTGGTTTTGTTTTTAGATTTTATATTTATCTTAAAAAGTTTTTCGAAATCATTTTTTTTTAATCTTCCTATGTATGTCTTCATTACATATCTCAATAATTTTTACTTTATTGACAATTATAATTGCCGATAATAAAACGTTTTATTTTACAAAATCACATTATGAATTATGGTGTCAAGAAAATATTCTATCAAATTCATTATTTCTCTATCCAAATCGAATACCAATAGGTATTTATCGTACATCAAATATTAAATCTGTTACATATTATCTTGTTGATGATAACAATAATGGTTTATTTCAAATAAAAACAAAACGTTTAGCAGACTTTTATTTTCTTATTATTAATATAACACGTCCATTTGATATTAATAGAGAATATCAAGATGTTTATACACTTCGTATTGAAGCAAATATTATAACGATACAAGAAAATCTAACTGAGCAAACAGAAGTAAGAGTTTTATTTTATCAAAGTTATAAAACTTTTTTCTTTTTACACTCATTGTCCTAAATAGGTTCGTCTTTATGTTGCTGATTCAAATGATAATGATGGAGTATTTGATATGGATATCTATGAACAAAATTATACTCAAACAATTGAAATTGATCAATCACTTATACAATTTCATGCAAGTGACGCTGATGAAATTCAACATGCACAAATTTTTTATGAATTAGCATCGTCATTAAATGAAACATTTTCTTTACATCCATATACAGGTGAATTATATATAATAACAAAAGAAAATTTAAAATCAACATATGAATTTGATATCTATGCATATGATCGTTATCGTAAACGTCTTGTTGATAATAATATGAAAACTCGAACACATGTTAAATTAAATTTTTATCAATTAAATTTTTTAAATAATAATATTTCATATGAAAATTTTCAAACAATATTTAATCAAACAATAAAATATGAAAATTTAATATCAATATATGATATTGAAATATATGAAAGAAAATCATTTCATTTATTAAATATTCATCAACCAATATTAACAATAAATATAAAAAATTTTAATGAAAAATTTTTTGAAATTTTTTTATTAAAAAATTCATCATTAAATACAAAAAATTTATTTATTTATAAAAATAATATTTATTTAAATAAATATTTAATTGAAGAATATAATTTACAATTATTTATTTGTTTTTATAATAATCATTATCAATGTCAATATACAAAATATCGTTATATACCATTTATTGATTTTAATTTTTATCAATTTCATTTTAAACCAATTAAAAAAATTTATTTAGATGAAAATTTACCTGTTGATTCATTTATAACACATATACAAATTAATTATAATCAATTATCATATGAACAATTATTAATAATTAATTATAAATTATTAAATGATGATATTTATTATCAATTTTATATTAATTCTACAACAGGTATTTTACGTCTTGCTGAACGTTTAGAATATCGTATTTATTTACTTGATATACAAGCTAATATACATTTATTTAATCGTCGTTATTCAATTGAAACAACAATTGAAATTCATGTACGTGAAATAAATAAATATCGTCCAATATTTCGTAATAATACACCAATTGATTTATTTCAATTACCATATCAATTTGAAGCATATGATTATGATCAAAATAAACAAACAAATGGACGTATAACATATCGTTTATTAAATTGTTTAAATAATTGTTCATTTTATATTGATCCAAATAATGGTATATTAAATATTAAAAAAAATGAAAATTTTAATCGAAATATAATTTATTATTTACAAATTATTGCATTTGATTGGGGACAACCAATTAGTTTTCAAAGTATTCTTGATATTCGTATTGATTTATCATTAAGAAAAATCCATAAAAGATCTTTACAAAGAACACGAGCATATTCAAGACGATGGAGAAAAAAATCAACATCAATTTTATTACCAACAACAAAAACAACATCAACAACAACAATGATTACAGAAAAAAGGTTTGATTAAAAATTTCAAAATTTATACTTCATTGAACTTAACATAATAATAACAATAATCATAATCATGTGAGAAAATCCTTCTGCCTTTTCCTCTATATTCAATAATGATTATAAAGCAAAGTCATAGAGAGAAGGGAAGAAAGAACAGCTGTTAGTACAATCCCTACGGGATTAAAATATGCTACACAATGTAGCTCAATGTTGTTAATCATACGGAAATTGTTTTATTCTATTTATTTTAGGACACATTGCTTTACCATCATCTCCAGAACTACAATAAGGAAGTAGTTCATATATTCTAACGAGGCGTTAATCTCTGATCTTATATCAACAACGTTTATAACAGAAACAACAAAGAATATCCTTGCTTCACTGTATGGAGTACTGCTTAGTGGTAGATTCATTAGCCCGATAAATTCCTTACAAACCATGATTGGTTATAGTTCTGAACAGAAGATCAGTCTAACGCAAAGTTCTGACGTTCAATCGCTTAAGCTCTTTGTACACACTGATTAATCATATACTAGCCACGAGAATAGGTGTTTGTCACAACTTAATCAACATGCTTTCGGCACAGGTGACCCGAGACAAACAAGTATTTGTGATTTATCTCGGGTCATTCGAAGACTAGCGGTACTACGATTTGTATACGTGCCGAATAACGGCGTCCTTCAGCCATGACGGACACGTTCTGATACCTAGTCTAGATCGTGTGTCACGAATAAACTATTCCAATTATTTGCATAATTTATTTTACAATGCAAAATTGAGATTAAAAATTTCCTTCCGACTGTTATCATCTAGTTTATATAAGAATAAATTTCCGATTTCGTGCTTTTTTTCTTCCTAAGTAGATATGAATAAGATATCCTTTATTCATCATTATTTTTAACTTGAATTTAATATCATTAATTATTTTGTTTTTTCTAGTACATATAATATAACATTACCTTCAAATATCGATACTGTTTATTTAAATATTGGTTTTTATCAAAATTTAACAACATATTATATATCAGAAGATATGGAAATTAATACAATAATTGATCGTTTAAAAATTGAATATGATTCATTTCCATTAAATATAAATAATGAATATGATAATATATTTTTCTATACAATAAATGATACAAATGTACCATTTATAATTGATCAAAATGAAAAATATTTAAAATTAATTAATAAAATTGATCGTGAAAAACAAAATAAATATATATTTGAAATTGAACTTAAATTAAAATCAATTTATTCAATTAAATTACAAGAACAATATTATTGTCAAAAGAAAAATTCATTTATTAATATTCAATATACAAATAAATATTATCAAAAAATGTTAATTATTATTTATATTAATGATATTAATGATAATATACCAATATGTAATAATTTTCATATAAATATTCAATTAAATGAAAATGAAATTAAAAAAAATCTTTATCAAATTCAAGCATATGATTCTGATTTAGGTAAAAATTTTCTTTGTTTTAATCAAAATAATAAAAAAAAAAAAAAACAAGAAATCCATTTGTGTTTTTTTTTTATTTCCTATCTTAGGAGAAAATGGTACAATAAGTTATTCTTTACTTGATTATAATCAATATTTTTCTATAAATCCATCAACAGGTCAAATTGATTGCATAAAATCAATTGATTATGAAGAATATTCATCGATTGATTTATATATAATTGCATCTGATCAAGGTTCACAAATTCAACTTCAATCAATATGTACAACAATTCATATTACAATAAATGATATTAATGATAATACACCACAATTTTTATTAGATAATTATATTTTTAATATTTTTTCTGATATGCCACGTTATTCAATATTTGGTCAAATTAATGCAATAGATTTTGATAAAAATAATCAATTAATTTATTCAATTAATACAAATCCATATATAACAATAAATATGTATACAGGTCATTTACGTATAAAAAATACTTTACATCGTTTAATTGATCAAATATTAAATATAACTGTAGAAGTTTCTGATAGTTTACATCAAAATCAAACATTAGTATCAATTTATATTAAAACATTTCCTGATGCTCAACAACCTATACTTTTATCTGAACCAGCATATGGTTTAACAATAAATGAATCATTATCTATTGATTCAATAATAACGAATATTTATCGTCGATTTCAAATTCATTCATCATCGATTGATTTTATTGAAGTAATTCATGATGAAATAAAATTACCATTTTCAATTGATCAACAAGGTATGATGATATTCTCTTTTTTTATTTTCAATCAAAAAAGGATTTGAAGAAATTTAATACACATTCAAATTTAATTTTATGATTTCAATTTTGACTAATACGTTGCATTGTTTTTTGACAATTATATTCATTTCTGTCATATCGTTCGAATACTTATATTATATTAATTCATACATATATATATTTTTTGTCGTCTCAGGATAATGAAACGACAATTAGAATGTCTGCATGCATGCATGCATGCGTGCATGTATGCGCGTGACCGATGGTGAACATCATTATACAGTCAATTCTAATTTCCTTTCTTTAATCCCTTGTGGTAATGTATGTGGCTACTAACGTCGGCTCTATGTTGGTTTGATGCATGTCTGAATAGAGATTGCTGTTGTTGTTGTTTTACATGTCATCAATCGATATGCATTGTGAGAATAACAGCTGCTCCTGTTTCTCACTCATTTCTGCTACTGAATTGTTCTTCATCGGACACTAATTACCCATTGAACTCATACACTAATCGATAGAAGATAAGCGTTAGTCATTATAGAGAACTTTTAAAAGAACACATGCTCATCAAAAAACAAAAATAGACATTTTTATTGATAACATCTGTTCAATCAAACATATATCTGGAAAACAAAAAGAAAAATGAAATCTATTGATATGAGTTTTTAAGAAAATATTTATTTTATCTGATTGAATCTATGAATGTCAAACGATTCAAATTACATGATCAATAAAAGATAATCTAGTTTAGTAGACAATTTTGATTGATATGATCAAATGACATTCTTTGTTAGAATGAATAAATTTTGTCAAACAAATAAGGTCATCTAATAATTAAACTGATTGGATGATTTTTTTTTGTGAAATGACCTTTATAAATAAAGACAAAGAACATGATTTTATGTTTTTCCTATTAAATTATTTATTCTTGTTAGAATAGATAGAAAGAAAATGAAATTGAAATTTTTCCTTTAAGAATATATTCAATGTATATGTTAGAATGTGATAAAAATAAATTAATATTAACACATCAAAACTACTGTCACATTGTAAATTGTGATATGAACGAATTTTTTAAATGCAAAAAAAAACATTTGATTTTACTCATAAAATCATAATATTCATGTAGAGATGTACACCATTATTGCCCTACTCATCAGTGTACGTGAGATTCCAATAGGATACAGACAAAGTTTACCTAGCTCGTCTCTAGATGATCTGTAAAACATTTCTATAATCTATGTTTCATTTGGTATAGAACAAAAAATTCACTAAGATTAAAGATATTCTTGTCCATAAAAATCTTCACTAAAGTTTTGTCTTATTTGATTTAAAAGCATTCGATTAAGAGAGTATCATAAAAGAAATTGAAGTATTTCAAGGAAAATTTGTCTATAAAAATTCATGTTTGATTTAAGGTTATCTTCGTTTAACACAATCTTTAATTGGTTTATCTCTATCATCATATTGGCTTCCAATACGTTTAACACGTTATCGTGCACATCCACCACATACATTTATTCATATACATATATCAATTCGACAAGAAAATTTTTATTTACCACAATGTATAGATACATATCAAAGTGTAAAAGCATACGATTATTCAATTGAATATCCATTTGCACGTATTGAAGCAAAAACATTAAATAAAAATTCATTTATTGAATATACAATTATTGATAATGATAAAAATGATAAAATATTTTTTATTGATAAACAAAAAGGTTTTGTACAATTATCATCAATAATACATAATAATAATAATAATAATAATAATAATAATAATCGTCGATTAAAATCAGATTATTTATTAACAATAAATGCATTAGATAATCAATATAAATTATCAGTTAATTGTTATTTAAAAATTCATCTTATACGACGACATCAATTAATGCCAAAATTTCTTTCATCATCTATTTATAATATTGATTTACCTGAAATTCAATATCATAGTGGACGAATACGACAACGTTTATTTCAAATAATTGCATTATTAGATAATCATGTTTATGATAGAAAACTTGAAGTACGTTATAGATTTGTTGATTCAAATCAACATTTTATTATTAATCGTCAAACGGGTTATATTGCTGCAAAACAACCATTAAATCCTTATACAATATATGAATTTCAAGTAAGAAATTTTCAAAAATTTAGGTTCTTTTTATTTTTTCAGATAAGATTATAACATAATAATATGTAAAAAATGTAATGTAAATTATTTTGTTAACCTTAACACGATTATTACTTGGGATTCATGTGAACTCCATGGGATAAAATAAATATAACATATAAAGTTGTTATTAGTTTATCATAAACATATGAAAACTTAATTACAAGAAAAACAAAAGCAGTTAGTTTAAACTATATTTATCTAGTCTTTTTTTTTTGTCATGGTTATATCATTTGTCTATTTTTGAGGCGTTTGAAATCATGCATCAATATTCACATCTATATATTGAACTGCTCTACATAAGAAGAACAATTACGTACGATCGATTGATATTATCAATGTACTGTACTAAGTGTTCCTAATGCATACTTAAATGGACAAGGTTCGATAAAATGTTATGAATGCATAATATACTAATGAGTCACAATGAAGTACGGGCGAACTTCGGATAGTTCAACAAGTGTTCATATACACTTCCGTGATGATATCTAAATGATATAAATAATAATTGGAAACAACTATCAGATATTATTAACAGATAGTCTACTAGTTGGTACTTGAATATTATCTGGAAGATAAGCGATTTCATCTAATATTGTATACTGATAATAGTATGATAAAACTCGATAGAGTCCATGTGGATCTCAAGTGATTGTATCAGATTAAGTCAATCTAATATATGAAAAATTTTCGATTAAAATTAAAGATTAGGAGATATATATTGATTTCTATTTGTTTAGGTTCAAGCATTTACAGTTGCACATCAAGATGATATATTATCTGATGGTAATGAAAATGATCATGATGATGAAAATTCCTATCAAGGTAAATGGCGTATAGTTTCACCACGTAAAATTTTACCAATAAAAATTCGTATATTACCAATGATATCACTTAAGAAATCGTTATTATCAACAATTGATTCAACAATAAATATTGATTTATTAAAAACAACTGAAGTTGGTACAACAATTTTACATCTTGGATTAAATAATCGTTATAATAATACACAATGGTTTATTATGATTGGACATATACGTTATACAAGATATTTTCATGTAGATTTTCAAACAGGTCATTTAATACTTATACGTCCTATTGAAGAATTAATACATCAAATAAATCTAATTGAACTTCGTATTAATGTAACTAATGATTGGATTAATATGAATACAATTAAAGTATAAATATTTGAAAATATATATATATGTTTTTGTAAATTTTTTATTTTTATTTATTTTAGGTTATTATTCGTATTATAAATAATCAAATACCAATTATTGAATTTTCTCAAACTGATTATTATAGTTCAATATCAAAAAATATTCCAATTGGTGCTGAAATAGCACGTTTAACAATTGAAAATCCATCTGATGATTGTATATATTCAATTGATTCAGTTGAAAAAATAAAATCTTATGATTTATTTCGTATTAATACATATACTGGTTCAATAACTGTTAGTAATTCATTAGTTAATTCTCAAAATCATAAACATTTATTAAAAATTATCTATCGTTGTGAACATAATTATCATATAGCACATACACATTTACATATAAATATACTTGATGAAAAAAATTCATTAAATCAAACAAATAAATTATTTCGTTTTAGTCAAGATAATTATTTAATTATATTTGAAACTTCATTAATTAAAAATCGTAAAAAATATTTAATAAATTTTGAATTAATTAATAATAATGATCATCGAATAAAAATAAAACCTGATGCTAAAATTCTTGAAGGTAAAATTTTTTTTTTTTTTCTATCAATTTATCAAACAAATATTTGCAACATGTAAATTCCTCATTAGGGTCCGCATAGTTCAAACTTCAAAGAGATTAATCAATTGAAGGACTTCCCTTGTAAATCTTTATAAGATATGAATCTTTAAAAGAAATACATACTGAATAAATTTGTCTATGGAAAAGAAAGTATACCTTGAATGTTCCATATCTCTCGAAGAGACTTACGAGGTTACATCTTCAACTGTCGAATGTTCCTGTTAGTCAAGAGGTATGATCGTTTCACTAATTTTTCAGCCTATCCGTTGCTTTATGCCAAAAAATCAAATTAAATGGTTTTAATCTGAAGTTTTGCTTAAAGTTAGGTCTCATGATCCTAAGAATATTCCGAAAGTTTCAACCAAAACCAATGTTCTTTTCTTGAGTTATTACATTTTAAAGCGAACTCGATTTTTGAGTCATATGTATGATAAGTGTCTAGTTTTTGAAAACTAGATAACTGAAGTAAGGAATATTGGTTTTTCGCTGAAGTTTTTAAGACTGAAACCAAGTAATATGATTTTTTGCCGCATACCTGCGGATAGGTTGAAAAATCAGTGAAACGTTCATAACTGTTGCCATGGGAACGAACCGTTCTAGAGTTTTCTTAGCCTCACTGATTTCCACGCATAGCCGAAATATAGAGTCGAACGATGTCCAGCAGTTGGATATGTTCCCTGGTTAGTCTGAAAAATTCTGAAATTTTTTATATAAGTTTGTCTCGTGAAGTTTTTGGTTGGGCCAAGTTTGAGATCGAAATTCAATAATATGGTTTTACTGCAAAAATTCACTAAAATGATCGATATCTCCTTAGAAAAAGACCATAAACACGAACTTATGAGTAAAAATTTAACAATTTTTTTTATATTTCTTTTCTAGGTGATCCATTAGGTTTATTCACAATTGATTCAAATAATCAATCACTTATTTTTCTTGATGAATCACTTGCTCGTTCATATATTTATCCTCTAACTTTAACTATAATTGATATATCACAAAACGAATTAATTAATTCAACTGTAACAATATTTATATCAAATATTGGTATACATTTTCCATGTCCATCTTATTTAAAATCTTCACCATATATTTTTACATATGAATCTTTATCATCGAATATTCTTGATCCTTTAACAAATCATGAATATAAATCATTAATTATACGTGCTTTTGATCCATTTACACCAATAAATGGTGAAGCATCAAATCAAGCTGAATGTATAATTAATAATGAAATTGAATATAGAAATAATTTACAAATAGAAAATCTTAATTTTATATTTGAAAATGAATTTTTAAATGGTTATATAAATGATACATTTGGTTTATCATCATATATATATAATTCTAAACAAGAACCAATAGAAATAAAAATAAAAAAAAATTTTTCTTATATAAAATATTATTTATTAAATGCAATAAATAAAAAATTTTTTCAATTAGATGAATATGCCGGTTTAATTAAATATAATTCATTCAATAAATTTCAATATAAAAAATATTCATTAATTATTTATGCTAAATATCAAACATTAATAACATTTATACGTTTAAATATATTAATTAATTATAAAAAT